AAAAAAAAAAAAAATTATCCCCTCTTGTGTCACATGTGAATGATTTCATGTCTCATTTTTTAGTCATTGCTTTACTGTCTCCTAGTTTTCAATATTGTTAGAGCCAACCTGGATTGTTTTTATTTTTTTCATTTTACACAATTTCTTTCTTCTGCCTAGATGCTTGTGGGATTCTTTCTTCATCCCTGGGGCTCAGCACTTTCACAAGGATCACCTTGTTCACGGTCGTTCTGTATTTTCTTATACCTGTTGAGTTGTTTAATCTGCAATCGTATATTCCTTTATTTCAGAAACATTTTGTGCTGAAATCTCTTCGATATTTTTCTGCACTATCTACCCTGCTCACTTCTTTAGGAATACCAATTATGTGTACGTTAGTTCTCCATTATGTGCTCCCCAAATAGTTCATTCTCCTTATAATCACCTTCCCTCTTTGTCCTTTTCTACTGTACTCCCTTCATTAGGCAAAGAGGACTTCTGACAGAACATGCCAGCTCATTTCTTATTCTTACCTTTCCATTTGTGTAACTCTTTAGTATTGAACTATTGCTGACATTCTAAACAGACATTTCCAGCTTTGCCCACTACTTCCTAGGTGTACCTCCCACTCAAAGTTCCACAGAAATGGAAACAGAGGAAAAAAGCCCAAACTCCCAAGTGTAAAGGAAGTTGTAAATGGCTTTACTCTGTAGGTGAGTATTTTCCCACAGAGAAAAATATAGAATATATTGTAAGTTCCCTCTTGCAAGATTAAAAAAAAAAAAAGGCAGTTACCTTAGTTTCTTTATTAAGTATACAAACAGCAATTTTGGCTGCAGCATTTCTTGCTTTCTTCTTTGTTTTACCTTCAGCTTCCGGAAATTCTCTGTCATTTATTATAACTTGAAATGTAAACCTGATTACAAAGGAAATATTCACAACATATTATAAAACTCATGCATTATCTAAGGACAGGCTATCCAATCACTACTGCATCCTATGACAAACCTTGCAGGTTTGAATCTATGTTCAATATAGAATATAAGTAGTAACTCCCAAACAGTACAGCTGCCATATTCTTGAACTATGGAAAGGTTTATACCCTCTTTTTTCTCTGGACCTCTAAAGTTACCACTTTTTGCCATGGGGACTCTCACAGAACCATTAATCACTTTGCCAATGGGTTAATGTATCAACTTCAGAACTGTGCTGAGTTGCCCTTCTGCCAAGTCATACTTTACAGAGAAAGATCCTTAAGTTATTTGGAGCAATTTACCTTAAGTTATGTGGAGGTCCTGCGATAGACAGTTCACGATACTTAACTGCTACACCGTGCTTCTGACTGTATTTATTAAGTTCTTCCAAGAAGAAACCTTGTTCAAGTTCATTAGCCATTTCCTCCTCTAGGAGCCTATATAGACGAGATGTTTGAAAAGAAGAGACATTTACAGAATCATATATTTAATCTGACTTCCCCAATCCACTTTAGGAGACAAAAGGGAAGAATCCTTGTCTATGACTCATTTTAGCACTACACATATTCAGAGGAAATTTCCTTACAAAAGTTTTTTTTTTTCTCTCCCATGACAGCAGAATCAAGATAATTTCTCCAAAATATTCTACTCTTAAAACTCAACTGGCCAAAGACCAAAGGGACCCCTTCTCTTTAACTCTGCTTCTACTGTCAAGCAGAAGATTTAAATTTGTCTACCTGCCTGAGAAGGTAAAAAGTTTGTAGAAGTAGAATTAGAATTACTTATTCTGAGCAAAAAGAGTGAAATTTTTGATATGAAGGATATAACTAGAAGAGAACAGATGCCCTACGAAATCCCAAACATCCCCCCTTGGAATTTGCAGAAGTCAATTTTAGAACAATTTACCCAGTGGGTAAATTGAAATCCCATTTTATGGGTCTCACTGCACCAAGATGGTAGCAATAATTTAAATCGTAAACAAAATTGAAAAGATATAGAGAATTTCACAGCATAGAAAGAAGTGGATGATAGGTTACGGGCAAGTACTAGCACAGCACGCCAAGATTCATCACCAAGTACTATCAGCTAGAAATGAGCCTGGACCTGTATGTATGCCCCTCCTCTGCTCATCCATTCCTCCTCAGGTCTGAGCCCCTGTATGGAATATGCCTGGAATTCCATACGGAATCTGCCTTAGGACAAGGGCCTGATTTGCTCATGCCATGAATTAGAGGATTCTTTCTCCAAAGATCTGATCACTGAGAATGAAAGCAGCTCTTTTCTCATTTTTGCAGTTCTTTTCCTCCTCTCACCAACCCTGCACCACCTCAAGTGTCTGCTGTACTTCCCATGCTGACTCAGTTCTACCACTCCTGGGTTCCACTGAGTACCCCATTCCTTATTCCTGCAGGGCCGTATTGTGTAGATATGTATATTCCATACCAAGACTGTATCTTAGCTGAAGAATGCTTCTGCCTGAGGAAGCACCTTTCTCTACTTTGCACACAGCCCAATAGTGGCCGTCTTCATGTATTAGCTCTTGACAGACAACTAATTTCTGCATGAAATGGATGACTCATAAATTAACAACATTTGAGTTCTTAGGACCCCAGACAAACTGATTCCCAAGTCAGTGATTTAGCAAATAGGGGTAGAAAAGACATTACATTTAGTAAGCTCTCAAAATTCAGCCTTTGAACTTTTGGTTACCTTTTTTTAAAAAAGTAGTAATAATAAGGACATTCATTATCTTACCTATAAACATGCAGAGATAGGACAGCTTTCAGGTTGTTCAGCAGCTCTGCATGGACCCAGGTGCTTTTCACCTTTCCATTCTGCCATCCTTAGCACATCAACTCTGTCACCCTTTGTGATTATAAGTAGTTCTGGATGTCACAATCCAGCATGACCATATCCACCATATAAGAGGTACTATTTCCTTTTGTATTTCTTTATTTTCCTAACTTGTTGTTGTTGTTGAAAATAACCATTGGTTACTGTTGAGACTCTGCTTTCTACTCTCAGTTTCAAAATCTGAAGATAAGGATTCCTAAACTGCCTGAAGATAGCCCTCAGAGTATTAACTTACCTCTCTTTCCTTCCCAAGTATGCAGGTAATCGAATCTCAGAACCGAGGAAGAAACAGCCTCCTAGAAATGAGTGTTTCAGCTATCTTCCCTGGGAGCCTGCTTCTTCTCTTTGTTCCTAGAGTTACCTAAGCCAGGAAGGGACTTAGGCATCAACTTCCACCACTTTCCAACCTTTTCCTTAATATAACAAGTCAATTCCACCTCCTAAACTTCTCTAGAAAGCATCACTTTTTCTCTCTGCCACCTTTGTCAACAGGAGCTCTGGTGGCCTAGTGTCTTAAGGCATTTGACTGCTAACCAGAAGGCTGGTTCAAACCCATCAGCCACTCCTCAGAAGGAAGATTGGGCAATCTACTTCCGTAGTGATACTGCCCCAGAAACCCAAGGAGGGGTCGCTATGAGTTGGATCTGATTTGATGGTAGTGAGTTTGGTTTTGGTTTGTTGACCTTTGTCAATAGCCCTTATCAACCATCACTAGCCTTCCCCAACTGGTTTCTCTGACTCCAGGCTCCAACTCTATTGCCAATCCCACTATAACTCCCTGGTAAACTCACTCTCACACTTTCCATGATACGTCTCAAACCTTCTCTATACTCCTCATAACTCCCCCTTCCCTCCTAGATGATGATCTGGCTTCCTTCCTCATAGTCAAAATAGATGCCTTGGTTTCCCCATCTAAATACAAACTCCCTTACAAGGCCAAGGTAACTACCATGTAAATTGTGTCTCGTGTAGTCCAATAGTACAGTGTGCCTAGTATATTCTTTCCATGTTCAACCCTGTTAGAGCAATCCTGCTCTCTCGCTCTCCTGTTAAAAGCCAGTCTTGCCACCTAAGCTCTAGATCCCATCCCTTCCCACCTACTCATGCATTGCCTGCCATCTGCTATGTCTCCCCATCAGTACATCCTCAGTCTCTTATCTTGAAAACAAAATAAAACAAACAAACAAACAACAACAACAAAGCAACCTTCCTAGAAACCTACTTCCCCCATCCCATGCACCTTGGAACTAGTGTTCTCTTTCTCTCACTGTTCACAATCAAATTTCTCCACAGACTTGCCTCCTTGTCTCATTTCTTCAATTCCTGCTCACTCCTTAGTCCATTCCAATTGGTATTTAGTCTATCATTTTAACTAAACAGCTCCTGATAAGAACCCCAGTGAGGGATCTTAAAAGCTAGCAAGCTGCCATCTAGATGCAATGATGGGTCTCCCCTCGTCCAGAGCAAAGAAGAATGAAGAAAACCAAAATTCATGGAAACAATTAGTCCTA